GTAGGGTGGTGACACCCACCGTTGTGGTACAGAACTGTCACCCCCAAAATACTCCCCCTTGGCACCAGCCACCCCACCTTGGATCCCTGACTGTCCCTCTCAGATGCCGCCTAGGTGGAGCCCTATATCCTATAGCCTGGGGGTCTGGCTTCCTTGACTCTGCAGTGACGTGGGACCCCCTGGTATGTCAGAGTGGCCTTCCCTTGGCTGCTCGTAGCTCTGAGGCAAGGACATTGGGTTGCTGTCCCTTTGTGGTAATTAACAACTAAGCAGCCATGAAACACCTTATGGCTTTTGTGTGAACGTAAATCTCATTTATCCTGGGTAACAACCCAGGAGAAGAATTGCTGGGCCGTGTGAAAGTATGTTTGGCATGGAAAGAAAGTACCAGGCTGTTTACTTAAGTAGCGCATGCTCCTCGATGCGTGGCTGGAGTTCCACTCTTCCACCCTCTCCAAAGCCTGGTGGTGGTGGTGTTTGAATCCCAGCTGTTCAGGTGGACATGCAGTGGGATTCGCTGTGGTTTTGATTTGTACTTCCCTAGCAACTGCTGATGGGGAGCACATTTTTATGGGCCCGTTGGCTATCCATGTCTTTGGTGAAGTATCCAGATCTCTTGGGTTTTGTATTGTTTTTTTGAGTGGCTGACACCTTTTTGTTTTTTTTTTTTTTTTTTCAGTGCTAGGGATTGAATCCTTAAATGCTGCCAAGGGCTCTGCCCCTCAGCCTCAGCTCTTGCCCCTGGTTTTTCCTGTTCTTGAGAGTTCTTTGTATGTTCTGGACACAAATCCCTTCTCAGATGTGAGTTGTGCCTCTTGTGTCATGAGTGAGGAATTTTTGCTTTAAAGACACAAAGGTTTCCTGCTGTTTTCTTCTTCAAGTCTTACAGTTCAGGATTCTACTGTGGTCCGAGCTGAGGTGTGTGTTGTTCAGTTTCTTTCTTTTTTGTGGCTCTGGGGAGGAAGCCCGGGCCTCCCATGCCAGGCAAGTGCACTACCACTGCCCTGCAGCCTACTCCGTGGCCAGGCTGGCCTGCAGCCTGCACTCTTGCCTGAGCCCCAGGAAGGGCTGGAATCGAGGTGTGCCCCACTGCACCCGTCCAAGCTCACCATCCTGCAACATACCTGTTGTAAGCCTGGGTTCCTAGTCCACAGAGGGTCTCCAGTTTTGTGTCTCTGGCTTGGATATCAAGGCGAGGTGGCCTTCCAGGACAATTTGCAGCCCCCTTTGCCTGCTGGAAGGTGGTGTGTGGATCCAGCATTGCTTCTTTAGACATCTGGTGGGTCACAGGGAAGCCTACACTTCCTGTGGAGGACTACCACCATAGGGAGGAATGGGTTGACACCGTGAAGCCATGCTGATGAGGGCTCCAGTGTCGCCGGGCATGGTGGCCCACGCCTGTGATCCCAGCAACTCAGAAGACTAATGCAGGAGGATCGCAAGTTCAAAGCCAGCTTCAGCAAAAATGAGGCCCTAAGCAACTCAGTGAGACCCTGTCTCTAAGTAAAATACAAAACAGGGCTGGGGTGTGGCTCAGTGGCTGAGTGCTCCTGAGTGTAATCCCTGGTATACCTCTTGCCTCACAAAAAAAAGAGGGCTCCCGTGTCTCCAGCAGCAAGACTCCCTAGGAGCTGCTTCCTGATGGGCGTGTCCTCCACAGGTGCTATCTTTGGATACAAACATCACCAATCAGGTGAACAAGCTGAACCGAGACCTGCTTCGCCTGGTAGATGTTGGTGAGTTCTCCGAGGAGGCCCAGTTCCGAGACCCCTGCCGCTCCTATGTGCTCCCTGAGGTGATCTGCCACAGCTGCAACTTCTGCCGAGACTTGGATCTGTGCAAAGATTCCTCCTTCTCCCAGGTGGGCTGGTTTGGGTGTGGGGCAGACGAAGCTGAGGCCATGGTCCTGCCATCCTTCTGTCCACCCTGCTGCCTGCAGGCTCCTCTTGAGCTATTGTGCCAGAGGTTGTCACGAGGGTGGGGGCCCCACACGTGATGAGTGCCACCACCCCCCGCCCCCCGGCTCTTCTCCCTCCAGCCCCTTCCCCCAGCTTTGTGGTGGAGGGTACAGGACATGCTGTGGCCCAGGGGGCTGTGGCCACCACTCAGGCGCTCACCCCTTACCCTGCTGTCCTAGGATGGAGCTGTCCTGCCTCAGTGGCTCTGCCCCAACTGTCAGGCCACCTATGACTCAGCTGCCATTGAGATGGCCCTGGTCGAAGCCCTGCAGAGAAAGCTGATGGCCTTCACCCTGCAGGACCTGGTGAGCTCCCTGTGGTCAGCACAGGAGTTTCTGGACACAAACTTGGCACTTAGGGAAGCTGACCTGTGCATCGGTCACCCTTGTAACCTCGGGGGACCACCCCAGCAGTCAGTCCCTGCCCCTGAGTCCAAGTGACAACGTTCTATTGACATCTGTTGGCCCTGCCCTTCCAGGAGGGGGTGTGGGTGCAGCAAAAGCTGCTCAGAGAGAGCACCAGGAGCAGGGGCTTCTACAGCACCTGCAGTCAGCACTGGGTCCTCCCAGAGACAGGCCTGGTTGACAGCTGGCGTGGACAGAGGAAGCCCCAGCACTTGGTGTCTACAGCCAGGTGCCTGCAGCAGGGCCTATGATGTGGGAAGGAGCCGGCAAGATTTTGATGTCATTTATAACAGACCTGAGTTGCAAGCAGCAGGGAGGTGAAGCTTATGTCCTCTCAACAGCAAGGACAGGGGCTGCTGGTGGGTCTGGCATGGGGACAGGCTGCTGCCTCTTTTCAGGTCTGCCTGAAGTGCCGCGGCGTGAAGGAGACCCACATGCCAGTGTACTGCAGCTGTGCCGGGGACTTCGCCCTCACAATCCGCACTCAGGTGGGTGCAGTCGCCTGCTCAATCCTCGCCTCCTTTCCCTGGTAGGACCAGGTGTCACTGTGTCTTGTCTTACAGGTCTTCATGGAGCAGGTTGGCATCTTCCAGAGCATTGCCCAGCACTATAGCATGCCACACCTCAAGGAGACCCTGGAGTGGCTGCTGCAGAAAAGCCCTCAGCCAGACCACTAGCAAGCCCCAGCCCTAGACACCGCATCCTTACAGGCATCCTCTGCTCCCCGTGATGTCCCACTGACCACCTGACTTCCAGTCTCTTGGAAAAGCAGACCGTCCAGGGAATGGGGTAGACCACCGAGAACATGCCAGGGAGTGCAGAGGTGGCATGAACAAGCTGGAGCAGGGAATGACCCTGTCCTCCACATTGCTGCAGGCCCCCTTCTGAGGCAGGTCATCAGGCAAGAAGCCTCTTGGGTCCTGAGGGGTCCTGAGGAGTCGTTTCTGCCAATAAACACACTTTGAAGCCTCTGTTGCTTTCTGCACCTGCCGATGAGGTGGACAGGAGTCTTACTTGTTCAGTGGAGAGCAAATGCCTGTCGGGGCCAGGCTTTTGCTTCTCTTTGTCTGCCAGAATCAGGAGGGGAGGGTCCTGGTAGACCTGTAGGTTGGTGAGCAGGGCCTGAGAACCTACAAGGAAGGGCTCTAGGTATGTGGGTTTTTTTAGGGACCTCCTTAACATTCTGTTTCAGCCTGGATGTCGGAAAAGTACTTTCTCACATGCAAGATTTAGGCTCTTTGTCTGTGAAGGGAGGATGAGAGAAGAAGAGGAAAAAAGCAGTCCCAGGGCAGCTTCAGGGACCCGCCCACTCCCAGGAGTGGCCTGGCCTGTGACCTGGCACATTCTGAGGACTGTACCCCAGGTGCAGGTGCAGAGGCTCCCTGCGTGCGCTGAGGCTGGTCCACCTGTACAACAGGACTTGCCCTCCCACTCTGCCAGGTACCCACCCCCTGGACTTGCTGCACATCTCCCTCTAAGCCAAGTGTGGCCTTTTCTTGCACAGGCCCAGGCCACTTTATCAAGGCAGTAGACAAGTGTTAAATAAAACATAAATCTGCAACCCCCCAGGACTCAGGCCTGGCAGAGGGCTGGGTGCCCTGGGGCCAAGTGGCAGTTCACTCCAGACCCTCCCTGAAGTTCCTCCTGCTATCACTCAGCTGTGCCTTTTCCACACTTTTGTACAAAAGGGTGGAGGTCTCTGGAAGGGTGGAGGGCTGAGCTTCTCTCCCCAGGCCGTTTGAACCCTGAGAGCTCAGGCTGCCTTTGGGGAGAAATCCGATGCCCGCCTGGTCCTGCTTGCTTGGAATGTGGACTGAGCCGAGTTGTGCTGAGACCTCCTGAGTGGGGATCAAATCAAATTAGGGCGAGGGAGAGGAGGCGGGGCAGCTAACTAGGCTTCCTGGAAGTGAAGCTGAGGAAGATGGGGGAGGGACAGTTGGGTACAGCAGGACAGGCTAGCTGGGCACAACTGAAACAAGAAACCTGAGCCTCTGGCCCTGGTTCCTGAGCTGCAGCCAGGGACCCAGTGGAAAGGCCAGTTTCTCTAAAACTAGAGCAAACATCTTGTGAGCCCAATACGAGGATGTTACAGGTGTTTGGTGACCCATGGAGGCTGGAGCTGCGTGAGTGCTGGGAGCCAGTGTTCCTTCCACTACTTACAAAGACCACCAGGTGTAAGGACTCAGGAGCTGGGACCAAGGCCCATCCAGACTCAGGCACTGACAAAGGTCTTCCCAGCTCTTTGGCCTTGGAAGGACATGCCACCCTGAGATTTGGTATACTGGTCTATGGGGTGGGGTACCATCTGCCATGGGCATTCTGCACAGCGCCTTGCCACTCCCTAGACATTCACCGCAGAGTCACATTCTGGTCTCAGTCCAGCAAGCACCACCACACTGACACAGCACCCTTGAGGATGCGGTAACCAGATTATCCTCCAGCCCCAACATCCCTAGTGCCAGCTCCTGGGCTCAGTCCATCACCACATTGCTGTTCCCCAGCAGTGGCTCTGCCCGTGCCCTCTGTACCTAGACTGGTTGCAAGGGAGATAACCCAGGCCGTGGGCAGTGAGCCAGCAGAGCCCCTTGACCAGGTACTCCTGGGCTGGTGGCTTTCCCCCAGAGAACAAGGCTAGAAGGCACCAAGCACAGGTTTATTGGACTCAGCATGCTGCAGCTTCTAAGGACAGGGCTGGGCAGTTTGGGGTTATGATGTTGTAGGTGTGTGCTTCAAGAGCAGGGACAGAGCCCCCTTGGATCTCAGCTCTGACTTGAGGTCCCAGCAGGCTATGAGAGAGAATGGTGAATAGGAAGGAAGGTGACAAGCCCTGTGGGTGTCCACTGGCGGGGGGGTTGGCAGGCCCTGAGAGGGTGGGGAGACAGGCTTAGTGAGGCCCCCTTTACATGGGGTCCTTTCATGGGCTCTTGGCTACTGAGGCAGGTGGGTCCTCAGTGCTGCCAAAGCAGCTGGGCTCTGGCAGGGTCCCAAGCTGCAGCAGTGAGGATAGGAACTAAAGTTGGGCCAGGCCTCTGGGGTCTGCAGGTGTGGAGTCCTGCTGAGCCAGCCTAGAGGTGGGCAGTCCAGCATGCTGATCCGGGGCATCCACCATCTGCTCAGACAGCTGGGCCTAGGCTTGCTGGCCCTCCTGGCCTGACAGAGGGTTGGGTGGCTGGGCCTGGGAGCAGTGCCTGGGTGGAGGAGGGGCCTGGCCCAAAGCAAGGGCAAGGGTCACAGGCCAGCTACTGGTGGACCAGCGTGGTGTACACACCTTGTCGAATTTCTTGTGACTGTAGACCTTGTTTTTGTTCATGAATGTCAGCAAGATCCAGTCACACAGGAAGGATCCCTGAGATCAGCAGAGACCAGAGAATAAGGGCCTGCAGACCACCCACCACCCACCCAGCCCCCAGGTGGGCTCCTTACCACCCCGATGGAGGTTAGAGCAGTAGCCAGGTTAATGATGGTGGGAATCAGGCTGAACTTCCCTGCCTGTGGAGCATCTTTCTTTTAGACCAAACACGGTTGCTTGGAGCAGGAGTGGGGCTCATGGGAGGGCTGGGGACCAAGTCAGCTCAGGCAACCAGGACTGGCCAGCCCCGGGGGGGGGGGGGTGTACCTGTCCGTGCACAATGACATCGATGCGGATTCCGTAGGCTTTGATGAGTGTGCGGGTGGTAGTGCCATTTATCTTGTAATACTTGGCAAACCTAGGGTGGAATGAGCCAGACGCTGTCCAGGCTGCCTGCACACCCTTCCTCTCTGGGGCCACTGCTGGAGGGCCAGGGCAAAGGCACTGTCCATCTCCTGGGCCCAGGTGTCCCAAGCACAGGTACCTGAAGTTGTAGCCTGAGGAGGCAGGAACTTGCTTGGGGTCCAGCCTCCGGAAGGAGTACTTGGGGTTACATTCTGACGCAGACAGGTCCAGGTCACAGTCCCAGTTAATGATGGCCCCAATGACACCACCCTGTGGGGGGGATGGGGGGTGGCAGGGGACCCTTGTGGCCCAGCAGCTCCAGGCCAACATACAGGGTGCAGGTGAACACCTAGCCTTAGAGGCCATGTGGACTGGTGTCAATAACTGAGCAGACACATGCACAGGTGGGTCAGCAGGTCGAGCCTCTCCTGCCTGAATGCAGCCAGGGCTGGTCCAGACAGGAGGGATGTCCTCCTGAGTGGGAGACGCTGCCCAGCCTTGCCGTCCCACCACCCTCACCCTGTGTGCAAGCTCCGTGAAGTTCTCCCCTGCCTGCTCCACAATGAAGCCCAGCTTGAAGATGGGACAGTAAGGGTCAGAGACGTAGTCGAAAGTGCAGTGTTTGAGGTAGTCATCCTTGCGGCCTGCGATGTTGCCCCTGAGAAACAGCAGAAGGCAGAGAGGCCTGTGCAGCAGAGAGGCAGCAGCCCCTTCACAGTGGTCCCGTCAATCATATGCCCTGATGGCTCTTACTTGGAGAACTGGAATTTGGGGTAGTGGATGCTGTTCTTGATGAGGATGGTAAAATTGGGAGCCATTGTACCCAGAAATTGGCTGAGGAGGCACAAACAGATTTAGTCACCCGTCCCAGAATCCCCCTTCCACCCTCCTACCCCACTACTCCTGCCCTCCTCCACCCATCTGGACTCAGGTCAGAGAGGAGAAAGGAGCTGGGCACTGCACACCTGACAGAGGCCCCATCCTCCACTGGGCACCAACCGGACACCTCGCAGGTCTTGGAGGCCCCGTGGTAATAGGGTACGCATCTGCCAGTTCGCAGTCCTGTGGAGCAAAAGCTGGCTAAGCTGCCTACGGGAGGCAGCTCTGCCCTGCTTCCCCACTGCCCTCCTAGGTGCACACTGACCGTTGCCCAGCATGTCCAGCTCCCCAGCCACACAGTCGTTGTCCGAATGGCAGGTGGCATTGTGGACCCTTATGCTCTAGAATGGAGACCGCAGAGTCAGAGACCAAAACCCTGCAGGTGGTTTAGAGTTCCCCAGGACAACCAGAGAATGTAAATTAATGTAATTAATACATTAATTAATGCAATCCCCAAAACAACCAGTGGCCTCACCTCCGGACAGATTCCCAGGGTCTGGAAGGGTGTGACCTCGATCCTGGTGATGATGCTGAATATGCTGCCCCCCTGTGCGCAAAAAGAGGAGTCAGTGGTCTAGACAGCTCGCTGTGCCTGTACTGTGGGGGCGCGGGGGCTAGGGGCGCAGGGCGCACCTCAGGGGGCTTCACATACTCCTCCACGTCCCACACTTTGTGCTCCGAGGTGGTGATGCCCTTGACCTTGGTAATGATGGAGCTCTCGGGTCCGGTCTCGCTGTCCTGGTAGCTCTTCTGCACGATGAACACGTACCTGCGGGCAGGGCAGCACTGGTCCTAGGCGGCCTGGGCGGGGCTGGAGCCTGCTGCAGCCCGCCCCTGACCCAGAGCTCCCGACCCGACCCACGCCCCTTCCCGGCCCGGCCCGGCCCGCGCACCACACGAAGTAGAGCAGGATGAGCAGCTGCACCGTGCGGTACACGACCCCCAGGCGCCGGTTCCTCACCACGATCACCTTGGGTGTCTCGTAGTCCCAGAACGCGGACCAGCAGCCCCGGGCCAGGCGCCGGGCCGCGGCCGCCCCCACAGGGGCCTTGGGCTGGGCGGCAGCCATGGCGCGGCCCCCACTCGGCGCCCGCACTCCGCGGGAAGCGGTGACCAGTCGTGCGACACCAGCCGCGGCAGGGCGGACGCCGAGGAGTCTGCGGGCCCCGCCCCGGGGTGTGGCCTTGAGTGCGCCGCTGAGCTCTTGGCCCGACCCCAGGCTCCCAGCAGGTGTGGCCAGGTGGGCTCCGGTGGCGAAGTGGGAGAGCCCGTGCGCAGGAGCGGCCTCTGACCCCCAGGAGGGAGGAGTGGCGTCGGGGCTCCCTGCCCGGCAGCCCCTGGTTTCCACCAACGCGCGCAGGCACCAGCGCTGTCCTCTTGGCTGGATTGCTGTGGCTCCCGGTTGTGCTTTTGTCCACTTCGGACTCATTTGCCTCTGCAAACCCTGGTAACTCTTTGTATTCTCACCCGCCCACGTTATTTTGAAGCAAATCCTAAATGTCAGTGTTCCACATAAGTATAAATGTTTACATTTTATCTTTTTATGGAGGCGAAATACACATAACATAATGAACCACTTTGTATATTTATTTGGTACTGGGAATTGAACCCAGGGGTGCTCGCCACTGAGCTACACTCCCAGCCCTTTTTATTTCTTGAGACGGAGCCTCACTAAATTGCCCAGACTGACCTCCAACTTGCTATTTTCCTGCGTCAGCCTCCGGAGTCGCTGAGATCATAAACATGTGCCACTGAGCCTAATTAACCATGGTAATTGAACAATTCCATGACATTTAGTACAGTCACACTAGTATGCAGTCACACCTCTGTCTAGTTCCCCACTCCCCAACCGCCTGCTCTAACAACCGCTGATCTGCTTTCTCTCTCTATGGGCTTTTCTGTTCTCTATTTCCTATTAATGGAACCATATGGCCTGCATCTGGCTTCATTCACTTGGCATAATGTTTCCAAGGTTCACCCAAATTGCACCATGTATCAGTACTTCACTTTTCTGTGGCCAAAAAAATATTCCATTATGTGGATATATCTAGACATTTTGGTTGTTTCCACCTTTTGGCTATTGTGAGTAATTCTCTTCTTGCAAACAAAAGTTTTCTTAGCACTGTTACATTTACATTTAGCAGGAGGTTGCCTCCCTACCTTGAATCCCTAGGCAGTAAGTTGCAAACTAAATTAGAACATAAACTGAAATGTAACTAAGAAGTATACTTTGTAATGAATGCCTGGGTCTTTTGAGAAACAGGCTGACCTGCCCAACCCCAAAGAATGGGCAAGGAAACATCAGGTACAGAAAGGGAAAAAAAAAAGTGAGACTTTAATAACAGTCTTGCAAGATCTGGAGCCTGGGGGTCCGCAGATCCAGAGCAGTTACAATCAGTGTTTTATCCCCAGAGCACAAGGTCCCTCCCCTGGTTCCTCATTGGCTGAGTACTGTGGGGTGTACTTCTTGAAGTCGCCTAGATTTTACTGTCTCCTGTTGAGTGATTTAAAGAAATATACCTTTAATTGTACCCACCTCCCCCTTTGTTCTCTTGTGGTGGGAAAACTTTGTAATCCCAGTAGCTTGGGAGGCTGAGACAGGAGGATCTAGAGGTCAAAGCCAGAAAAAATGAGGTGCTAAGCAACTCAGTGAAACCCTTCCTCTAAATAAAATACAAAGTAGGGCTGGGGATGTGTCTCAGTGGTGGTTGAGCGCCCATGAGTTCAATCCCCGGTAGCCCCTCAAAAAAAAAAAAAAAAAAGAAAGAAAGAAATATACATTTAGCTGTCCCCTCCTCCCTTTGTTCTCTTATGACAGGAAAACCTTGAGGTGAATGCTTCTGACATATATGCAGCTCTAACTTCTTTACCTAAGTTACTCTTTTTTCTTTTCTTTTTTTTTTTTTCTTTTCTTTTTTTTGGTACTGAGGATTGAACTCAGGAGTTGCTTAACCACTGAGACATATCCCCCAGCCCCTTTTTATACTATATTTGGAGACAGGGTCTCACTAAGTTGCTTAGGTCCTTCCTAAGGTATTGAGGCTGGCTTTGAACTCTCAATCTGTCAGGAGCTGCCACATAGGAATCGAGCACCCCTTAGCCTTGAGTGATGAGTTTTCTTATAGATTCTTGTAGATTCCTTGGGTGTTGTAGATGTATGATCATGTCATCTGTGGATGGTTTTACTTCTTTCCAACTTGGATGCTTTTCTTTCTGTCTATACAGTTACTCTGGCTAGATTTCCAGTACAATTTTAGATAGCAGTGGTTTAAGTGGGCACCCTTGCCTTATTCCTTCTCTTACGGGAAACATTTCCAATTTTTCACCATTGTGTATGATGTTAGGTGTGGATTCTTCATAAATGTCCTTTATCATGTTGAAAAAAAAATCTTGTCTATTACTAGTTTTCTGAGAGTCATGATGATAAAAGTATATTGAATTTGGCAACTTTTTATGCATCAATTAAATGGACCCAGGATTTCCCCTTTGTTCCATTTATGTGCTATATCACATTGATTTGTGTTCATTGTGGAGCTGGGGATCAAATCCAAGGCCTTGTGCATGTGAGGCAAGCACTCTACCAACTGAGCTATCCCAGTTCATTATTGACACACTCCTGAGATACTGGGATGACTTCTACTTGGTTGTGAGTCTGAGCCTTTCGGTATTCTGCTCCATATAGTTGCTCTGATTTTGTTGAAGATATTTGCATCTGTATTCACAAGGGACAAGGTCTGTAGTTTCCTTTTACTCTAGTATCTTTGCCTGGCTTTGTTATAGGGGTTTGAGGATCTTAGTCTCATAGAATGAGTCCATTTCTTAGGAAGAGTTTGACAAGGGTTGGTGTTAATTCTTTAAATTGTTAATTCTTAAAAGTTCTAACTTTCAAAATTTAGAAGTGTTAAAGAAGAGGAAACAATTCTCAATATACCCTGTGAGGTCAGTGTTACATAAGAAAAATGCAGAACAATGTCCCCTGTAGATAGAGATACAAGAATTCCCAATGAAATCAAAGCCACTCTGGCAATATCACCAACTGGCCAGACTGGTGATATGAGCTGGGTTCAAAGGAGCTGGCTGTATCAATAACTAAGAAAACGGCAAAGAAACCTCACAGCACACAAAGGCAGGACAGCTTGGTGACCCAGCAGTCAGCTCCAGCGCTGGAAGGAGCAAGAGAGGGAGCATACCTGGAACCTTCTATTGGGGAAAAGACATTCAAGAATATTCCAATCGAATAAGGCAAGGGATTGGGTTTTGAAAGGTGGAGTCTTGCTTGCTGATGTCTTGAGGTAAGCAGATTGACATCTTGGAAAGACACACCCATCTCAGGTGCTGCGTGGGATCACAGGCAGAGCGAGAGGAAAGGCACACATATGTCACACAGCCCAGTCAGGCAGCAATGTCAGGCCAGTCCCCTCATGAGCGCAAATGTGTATAGCTCACACACACAGCCCATGGCTGGCTCGTGACATGACAACATACAAAAGGTTCCATGCCTCATCCAGGTGGGGTTCTGGGCCTCTGGGAATGCAGGTTAATTATATATCCCCAAATCAGTACCATTATATACCACAAGAGTGAAATAAAGGACAAAAGTCACATGATCATCTCAGTAGGCACTGGAAAGCATTTGAGAAAATGCAGCACTTCCTGATAAAGACACTCAACTAATTAGGAATGAAAGGAGTTCCCTAAACCTGATCAAGCATTTGTATGAAAACCCACAGTTAACATAGTGGTTGTCCCTTGTTTTCAAATTGTAGTAAGAACATCATATGAGAACTATCCTCTGATGGAGTTTTTAAATGCCCAGTACAGCATCGTTGACTGTTGGCACGTTGTAGAGCAGACCTCTAGGACTTATTCATCTTGCATAACTGAAACTCTACACCCCTTAACAGTGACTCCCCAGCTCCCTGCCCTCCTGACCCTGGCAGCAGTCCTTTCTGCTTCTGTGACAGCGTCACTCTTGATAGTTGAAACAATGAATGCATTCTCTCTACACCAGGGGCAGGACAAGATGTCGTCTCTCTCGTCACTCTTGCTAGATAGTCACTGGAAGCTCTTACGGAAGCAAGTTGGCAATAAAAACCTGGAGAACCTGGAGGAGAGGACGAAGGACACCTGTGTCCACCTGCAGGGGGCATGATGTCCAATGGAACCCTTGGAGCACTGAACAACAAGTGCAGCAAGGTTTTGGAATACAAGATCCATATACAAAAATCAGTTGTATTTCTAACACTTGCAATGAATACTCTGAAAATTAAATTAAGAAATAGTTCCATTTAAAATAGCATCAAAAAGAATAAATTAGGGCTGGGGTTGTGGCTCAGTGGTAGAGCACTTGCCTAGCACTTGTGAAGCACTGGGTTAGATCCCCAGCACCATATAAATATAAATAAGCAAAATAAAGGTATTTTTAAAAATGACACCATGTTTTTTAAAAACTAAATTAATTAGGAATTGCCAGGCACAGCAATGCATGACTGTGTTCCCAGCAACTAAGTAATTCATTCTGCCCAGTTGCTCCAGGTTTTTTGCCTACTTGCTTCCGTAAGAGCTTCCAGTGACTTCTAGCAAGTGACAAGAGATGACATTTTGTTATGCAAGTTCCAGGCCAGCCTCAGCAACCTAGTGAGACCCTGTCTCAAAATAAATATTGAAAAGGCCAGGGTGGTAGCTCAGCTGTAGAGCACCTCTGGGTTCAGTCCCCAGCACTGCAAAACAAATACACCAAATGTTTAGGAATAAATTTAAGCAAAAAGTAGTACACATATTATCAAATCACACCCTGAAACTAATAAAACATTTTTTGGGGGTACTGGGGTTTTGAATCCAGGGGTACTTTACCACTGTACTTTACACCAACTGTTTTTGTTTTTTTATTTTGAGACAGAGTCTCAGTAAGTTACTTAGGGCCTTGCTAAGTTGCCAGGGCTGTCCTTGAACTTGTGATCCTCCTCCTCGACCTGCTGGGATTACAGGTGTGCACCCTCTGCTCAGCCTATAAAACATATTCTAATTCAGGAAGGTCTAATCCAATGGAAAGGCCTCCCAGCTCATGGAGCAGAAGCATAATGCTGTGGAAGTCGAAGCTCACAGATTTACACCAGCTTCAGTGCAGGCCCATCCACGCCCTGG